CCCCAAGGTTCAACTCAATCCTACCTTTCCAAACTACACTAGCCCTAGATACTCTCCCTCTTCTCTGAACAACCCATGGTAACCCCTACATTACACCATTTAGCATTTTACACATTTACTCTTATACTCTCAACAATGATCATTTACTTGTATGTATGTGTATTTGTAAATATGTATGTACATATGTATGTATGTACATATGATATTAGTGAAAGGAGCATTGGAATTGAAGTTAAGAAACCAGGGTTCTAGTCCTTGCTCAGCCAACTCACTGTATGACCTTGGGCATGTCACCACCTCAATGGGCCTCAGTTTCTTCAACTGCTAAATGGTTGGACTGGGTCCTTTTCAGTTCTAAATCTATGATGCCATGACTACCACTGAACATTTTACTACAATGAGATTATAAATTAAGGTAGATACTACACCTTATATTTCCATATAAAAATCTAAAGAAGAAAAGGAAGAAATGAAAATGCAGCTTCTGAAAGAAACAATGGAAAAAGAAGAGAAACCACAAGTTCTTGTTTTCTTTAGTCTATGCCATGGGAAGACAAACAGAGATAAGTTATGACAACACATTCTGGAAACCTATAGTTCATGAAGCAATAACATGCTTCAACTAATCAGAGAACAGTGACAATAGGATTGGCTTTAATTAAGTGTGTCAAGCTAGTATACAAGAGTAATTACTACACAATTGGGGGGAGGGGAAGGAGAAGAAAGTACAGTTGAGGAACCAAAGAACCCCATCTGAGAATATAACCAATCTTGGCACATGTGAGTTGGGACTAGAATTACCATCAACCAGAAAAAAGGAGTTCAGGAGAGTTGGGTTTTAATCATTTTGCCACAAATTAGCAGTATGCCTTCAAATAAGTCACCTCACTTCCCAAGAAAGCAGTTCCTTTCATCTGTAAAAGCAAGGGGGCGGGGAGGAGGAGGAGAGATATATCCTGTGACAAAATGATCACTAAAGGTCCCTTGCAGTTTTAAAATGATAGAATGTAAAATATTTAATGAAATTTACATGGGCTCCCACCACTGAGAGAAATTTTAATTTTAAAACAATAAAAACCAATCTCTAGGATTGATTCTAACAGAAAAGCTTTTCAAGTAGCAGCAAGAAGGAAGCAGTGAAATGCTGGAATCGAGTCTGAGAATCTACCTGGGTTCAAATCCCAGTTCCAAGGCTCACTACCAATATGACCTTGGGCAAGTCACTTGCTTCCCTGAATCTCATCTGTAAAATCAAAGGGTTGGCCATAAATGGCCTCTAAGGCTCCTTCCAGCTCTAAAGCTATGATCCCCTGAGTTCTGGTTTAGAAACCGCCTCAAACTTTGGACGATTTCTCATGACCTAGTCAAGACTCTTACCTTGTGGGCTCCTCACCTACATTTCAAAGTAACACCTATAGTGAGAACAGTGTGTGTCAGGCTCAAAGGGAGCATGGTTTAACAGTGGAAAACACCCTTTAGCGTCACAGCAATGATGGAGGGGTCAAGGAGTGTAAAAATCAATGACAGGGAGGAGGAGTGGGAGTTTCAACATAGGAAAAAGTCCTAATTTTATCTCAAATGCTTACTGGCTGGATGACTGGTCAACCTCTTTGAGCCTCAGTTTTCTTGTCAGCAAAATATAGTACTTTCTCTACTTGATTCACAAGGGAATTACATGAAAAGCAATTTCCAAACCCTAAAACAGTATTTAAGTTTGAAAGATTTGCTTTTGCGGTGGGGGGACTAAAGTCAGACCTTCTATAGTTCATAGTCATAAAATCAAGAATTTAGAGCTAGGAAGGACCTCAGAAGTCATCTTAGTTCAACCCCTTTATTTAACAGATGAAGAAAACTGAAGTGACTCACCTAAGGTCACACATTTGGGAAGTACCAAAGACAGAATTCAAACACAGACCTGCCAGGTTCTAAGAGCCTTTCTCTAGACTGATTGGGGAGGGGGGGGGAGTATTTAACAAGAGCAAGGAGGATATGACAAGGTAAGACCACAATACCCTCCAAAACACATTTAAAGGTTAGTTAGAAAGGAAGGAGCAAAGCTGGTCATTTTTTTAAGCCATCACTTCACAGGAATGAGAGGTCACTAGACCACAGACAAGGTTCAGACTATCATAACAACCTTAATTTCTCATCAGCCGCCAGAGCCACAAAGGGGTCCATCCATATCACCCATTTCTACCCACAAAACATAGACTTCAACAAACCAAGCAATGTCTGGGAAGCCTCCAATCTAACCCTTCCTCTCACCCCAGGCTTTCTCCCAACTTACCAGTCAAGCTAGAGCAATATTTCAAAATATTACTTCCCTAATCAGCACCAGAGATTTATCAAAAGTCAAGCTCTTTCATGTGTATTTTCAGAGCACGATTCTTCGAACAAGATTCCTCCTTTTCCCTCCTCCCCCTGTAATTATGTCTTAACCAATATTTGGATATGCTGTAGCTGTTGACACTGCTGCCACTCTCCTGATGCCTCACCCAGGCTTTCTTCCTCTGTTATTAAGTTTTTACACAATGAAGTGTGGGAAATGTGCAATTTAACAGTTGAGTCAACTCATGAGATCTAGATGCAGGCTGTCTGTCAAAACAGAGTGACTTCACTCCTCTCACCCACTTCTAACCTGAAGAGAAGGATAAATTGTGCTCATAAAAACCTATTGTGCTAAAAGTGTCAGTTAAAATATCAGGAGATTCTCCCTTTAGGAACACGAGGGAAAAAAATGTTTAAAAGGCAAAGTCACTTTCCTGATAATTAGAAGAGAAATTCAATCATTTCTCTAACCACCACCACTCACCTCCCTCTCCCAACACAAAAATAAATAAATGTTTCAAAGACTTTTGGTGAATTATATAAACTTTCCAGGCCTTTTCTTTTTATGATAAGGGCTACTGTTCTGATATCATCATACAAGTATTTTCACTCCTTGGGAAAAAGGCAAATAACTCACATCCCTGAACAGCTGATGACCAAGCTCTCCTGGAAAGAAGAATTTGTCCCGGGCTTAACACTGTGAATTAACTCTGGTCAAACTTTGCATTCTTCCACAAGGTCATAACTCTAGTTTTTCCTCCCCCATCACGGACTGAGAAAGAAAAGGGGTTTAGAGGACAGTCTGAAAAAGAATAGGTCATTGGAATCTTATATTTAGTCCCTTAGAGAAAACTGCCCTTCATGATCTTCAAAATTCAGAACATACCTTCAGCTTAGATTTAGAGAAATATGGAATTACAAAAGAGAATTTGAAAGTTATTTGTCCAGTTTAAGGCAAAAAAACCCTCATCTTTGGAGCTAGTCAGTACATCATCTACAGCCAATATATCTGTTTTTATTCACCATCCCTCAGAGAAAGAATAACGGCTATTCAAACTAGAATTTATGTACCTTTTTAAAAAAAAAACTACTTTGGGAAGGAAGGATATTAACACTAACAACTGATATCAAACACTTCACAGTTTACAAAGTGTTTCACATCTATTATCTCCTTTGATTGTTACAACAATCCCGTCAGGGAGGTACTGTAGATACTATATTTATTTTACATCTGAGGAAACTGAGGCTCTATGTCACTACTTGAGGAAGTGACAAAGCTAGGATTCAAAACTCAGGTCTTCTGTTGACTCTTTCCACCACTGCACAGATGTCTCCTCACACAAACTAGGACTTTCCTCTCTCCTCCAATCACCAAGATAGCTATCAAAATCAGACCAGAAGATGAAGTGTTTCACTTTCAGAGGGGTGCTTCCTTTTAAAACCACTATGGGAAGAAAACTCACTGTGATGATTCCCCTTAACCTGTTCCTGGCTCAGACTTGAGGCTGCTTTGTCCCAATTCCCAATGTGGGACCTCCAAGGCCAAACTCCTTGACTCACAGGGTTGCTTTCTGGTGCCTCCCGATTTCTGTCCCTCTATCCTCCTTCCTAAAGTTGAAGCAATACCTAGTGGAAGGACACAGCAAATCTCTCATCTCTACGGTTTCAGCAGGAGTTTCCACTCCACGCACCTCATCAAGGATTTACTAAAAACTTCAAAAAGGCCAAGTCAAGGTGTGCATAATAATTTTGATCAATGGAACTACGAAAATAGCAGATTCGGTATCAAAGCCTCCCTCTTTGGAGTGTATGGGGGTTGAGGGTGGACATTGAGAAAGGGAAAAGGCACACTGGCCAAAACAAATCACCCTCCCCCACCCATGGGTCTAAGGCGGGGTTCCCCCTCCGGAATCTCCGGTCTGGCACTTCTTTGGGCCAATGCATTTTCAGTAGAAGACAGAAGACTTTTACTCTAGAGGGCAAGGGAAGTGAAATCACACATTCCGGCTCCCAAATAAGGAAAGAGGCAAAATAAACCTCTACGATCGGACTTCTCCAAACCAACCAACCAACCAGCTCAATGAGTAATGGGCCTTTTGTGCCGGCAGAGAGACAGGGAGGCAAGGGGAGGGGAGGGGGAAGGGGGGAGGAAGAGGAAGGGAAGGAAAGAGATAGGGAGAGGCAAAGAGGGGAGAGATGGGGAACCACAACCCCTTAAAATCACTTCCTTGAGACCGACTACGAGCGTTAAAGCAGAAGCGATTCAGGATCTGACCATGCAGATTCAAATGAAGCCCGCTCAAACCCCAAAATGGTATAGTCCTCCCCAGTCTCTTTGGATTTCACTACTCTAACTCCCTAAGGTGACCGGAAACTGTCCCGCGATCACAGGGACACCAAAAATCTGCTCTGACCTTCCCCTCCCCCAAAGTCACACACTCCGTAATAACTACCAACAATAACTCAGACAACAGCACCTCCTCCTCCTCCTCCTCCTTCTCCCCCCAGCACCCTCTTTACCCCTCCCCCTCCTTACCCTGGGGGCTTCCACGAAGGAGCAGGGGGAGAAGGGAGGGTCAGGTAGATCTTTTTAAGCAGTTCCTGGCTTCCCCCTGTAAGGTGGCAGTCGCCCCCTGGAGTTCCCTTCTCCTCCTCCCGGGCCCCAAACTTACTTTGAGGGCGAATTTCTCCCCGGTCTTCTTGTTGAAGATCTGCAAAACTTTCCCGTTGATGCCAAGCCCCAGGACCTGGTTGGTGACCTTGTAGTCATCGGTGATGGCATTCTTCTTGATCTGCAGGCTCGACTTGACATAGAACTGAGGGAACTGCTGGGGAGGCTGGGGGGGCGGCGGCGGCTGCGGCTGCTGCTGCTGCGGCGGCGGCGGAGGAGGAGGCGGCGGCGGCGGCAGAGGCAGCACCGGGGGCTGGGGCTGGGAGGGGGCTGGGGCGGGGGTGGCGGCGGAGGGTTGGGGAACAGCACGGGCGGGGTCTGACCCGGAGAGTTAGACAGCATGGTGCCGGGAGACCCGGGAGCAGGAGCGGGAGGAGGAGGACTCGGGGCCGTCTCCTCCTCCAGCCCTGGACGGGGCCCCCGCCAGCCCCCGCCCGGCTGGGAAGTTTGCTCCCCGGCGGCGGCAGAGCCGGCTTCCCCAGACCAGCTCAGCCCCGGCTCCAGGCTCGGCCCGTCGGCGGCTTCCGTCGGTCGGTCCGTCGGTCCGTCGGTCCGTCCGGGCGTGAGGGCTCGCGCCTGCCCCCCGGGGGGGCCTGGCGCTGCGGGAAGCCGCGCGGGGATGGCTGGGGGCCGGCCCGGGGGAAGCTCGGCGCGACAATGTATCCAGCCCCGGGGCCCGGCGGCCGCGTCAGAGCCTCGGCTTCGCTGGGGACGGCCCTTAAAGGGGAGGGCCAGAGGGGGCGGGGTTTGGAGGATGTAAGGGAGGGGTGGGGTGGGGGTGGGACGGGCGAAGGGAAGGTGTGGGGGAGGGGAGGGGGAACCCTTAAAGGGAAGGATCAGAGACTGGGGTTGGAATGAAGCGTCCTGGAGAAGCTGGGGAGGGAACAGAACAAGAGAAAATCGAAAGAGAAGGCTTCTCTTGGAGGCCAGTCGAAATAAAGGGAAAGGGAAAGGTCACTTTTTATTTCAATTGTGTGATTCATATTCAGGCGTCCAAAGCAATGGCTGCGGGAAGGGGGGAGACCCTGGACAGCTCTGGCTGGTATGAATAAGAGAGGGGGTCCCTTTCAGCTCTAATATTCTTCGGCTTTGTGACTCAGGGTCATAACTGGATCCGATAAAGAGGGAACAAGAAGAAAAAGCTGAGAACCATAGGAACTGGAACTGGAAGTGACCTTAGAAGTCATCTCATCCAACCCCTTTATTTTATAGAGGAAATTGGGACCCAGTGGAGGGGAGTAAGTGACTTGGCCAAGATCACACTAGTAGTAAATATCAGAGCCAGGATGCAAACCCAGGTTTTCTATCCCCAAACCACTATATTAGCTGTCTTGCTTCATTGGACTCTGCTAGCTTGTAAGAAAGACGGTGACACTAAGGAGAAAGCGGGTCAATGGCGGGGGCGGGGGGGGGGGAGTGCAAAAAACCATGTGTTTCTAGAGGGGACAGTAAAAACTGCTGGCCAGTTATTCATTCAATAGACATTAAGCAGCTCAAGTGAAGGAAACACTGTGCTAAGAATAGTAGCAGAACATTGAACCTGATGTCCTGAGATCTGGATTCAAGTGTTGCTTCCTGTCCTCTGCCTTCTTTCATTTACCTCCCTGTGAGTCAAAACCTCTTGGAGCATCAGTTGCCTTCTTTTTTTGTAAAATAGGGATATCAAAAACAGACCAGAAGACGAAGTGTTTGACCTTCAGAGAGGTGCTTCTTTTTGAAACAGGCGTGAGAAGAAAACTCACTGTAATGATTCCCTTAGCCTCTTTCACAAAGAGGAAGGGGCCGGTGGATTTGGAATTTTGGAATTGGGTTATATAAGCAAAACCTTCGCAAACTTTAAATAAAAATGTAAGTGATTAAACTTAACATGCTGTGGTTCCTGCCCTAAGGGAGCTTACAATCTAGCCAGAAAGGTGATGATGCAATATAAGACTGTATAAGATTAGGACAATAAGAAAGAGATAAAGCCAGTAGTATGGTAGTTAGAAGGGAGAGAGAGCTCACTTTTGGCTGTAGTGAACATAGAAGGAGGGTTCATAGAAAAAGGAGGTAGTTAAATTGGGCTTTAAAAGATGGAAAGAATTTCAATGATGTTGATAACTGCAAGCAATTTGTTTGAATGAAATGTTGCAAATTCCAGAATTCCCTGGCCTTGTTATCTAGCACCTGGAAAAGTGCCTTTTATGTACTAAATGCCTAAATGTTTGATCTAAAATGAAAAGCCAGATCCATGGCAATGGGCCTGAAAGAAGGCAACTAGTACAATACCCAAGGTATCCATCCTTGGCCCTGTTGAATTCAACTTAACAAGCATTTATTAAGTGCACCAGGCTAGGCTGGAGATATAATGACAAAATGAAAACCCATTCCTGCCCTCAAGGACCTTACATTCCAGATATACCCTTTAATTATCCCTTCCTCTCCTCAACAATTGATCCTAGCCTGAATATTTCTTATTGTTTTGATGACATGTATTGACTGGAGAATCTGAAAAAAATTCCTTATTGATTCTGGGGCTGCCCTAGACACACAAGGAATGTCTTAGGACTCTCTCTCTCCCTCTCCCTCTCTCTTTCTCTCTCTCTTTTTTCATTTCATATGAAGAAACTAAGGCAGTATTCAACATCTTGTTTGATGAGTTAGATGAAAGTATAGATAGTGTACATGTCAAATTACCAAATGAGCAAAAGCTGGATAGGATAGCTAACATGCTGGTCAGCAGCATTGGCATCCTGAAGAAGACATGTGAGAAATATGAACCAAATCTGAAATGAAAATGAATAAAGGTCCATGTAAAGTCTTCCCTTTACATGAAGACACAGACATTGTCTGACCACATCATGGGTCATAATAAGTGACTTTTGAACTGACTTAAAGTCGTCAAGTGGACAAGTACAAGATGGAGAAGACATGGCTATGCAACAACAGTTCCTGTGAAAAAGATCTGGGGGTTTCAGTGGACTGCAAGCTAAATATGAGTCAAAAAGTATGACATGCTAGCCAAAAAAGTTAATGCCATCCTGGGCTTGAAAAGTTTCATGGTAAAAAAAAAAGTTTCATGGTGTGATGGAAAGAGTATTGGATATGAAGGTAGAAGACCTGCTTTAAGTTCCTCCACTGATCACTTACTAGGATAACCTAGCCCCCTCCTGCCTTTCAAGTCTTCTTACACCTTACTTCTCCATGTGTACTCTTTGATCTAGTGACACTGGCCTCCTGGCTGCTCCATGAACAAGCCACTCCATCTCTGGGCATTTTCTCTAGCTGTCCCCCATACTTGGAATGCTCTCCCTCCTCCACTCTGACTGCTGACCTCTCTGGCTTCCTTTAAGTCCCAACTAAAATCTGATCTTTTATTGGAAGCCTTCTTCAACCCCTCTTAATTTCAATGTCTTCCCTCTGTTAAGCATTTCCTATTTATTCTGTATGTAGCTTGTTTTGTATATATTTGTTTGTATGTTGTCTCCCCCATTAGATTTAAGTTTCTAGAGAGCAAAGACTGTTTTTTTGTATTCTCAGGACTTAGTATAAGTATTGATTGATTGATTGATTATGACCGTGGGCAAGTCACCATGGGCCTTGGTTTCTTCATCTGTAAGATGAGGATAATAATCCTCGTACTACCAAAGGGAGATTTTATGAGGAAAGTACTCCACAAACCTTAAAGGGCTTAAATATAAATGTGAGTAATCACTAGTGGGATGTAGTAAGCTACATTAGGAGAAGCAAAATACCCAAAAGCAAGAAAATAATAGTCCCACTATACCCATAACTGAGATAGAGACCACCTTTTAGGAATGACTTTGACAAGCAGAAGCACATCCAAAAGAGGAAGATCAGTATAGTAAAAAGATTGAAATGCTATAGAAGGATATTCTGAAAGAACATGGGGTTTTCAAGCTGGCACAACCTGAGAGGAAACTTGATTGTATGATCTTCAAGTATTAGAAGAGCTATCACCTAGAGAAAAGTTTATATTTGTTCTGCTTGATCCCAGATGACACAACCCAGAGCCATTAGTGAAAGTTGTGCCTTTACAGACTGGGATAGTCTTAGCTAGACTCCAGCTTTTGTCTTTGCTGTCCACAGCTAGATCTTTTACAATCCTCCTCTGCCTCCAGGGTGGGTAGAAAATACTACCTACACCTTTCTTTCAGGTGCTGACAGCCTCTCTGCTCTGTGCCCTGGGAACTGCCCCCCTGACATCAGGAACTATCTTCCCACCCAACTGGGACTCAGGGGAGCCAGCTGGCCTTAAGATAAACAAGTTACCCAAAACCCCACCTGAGGACTCCTGCTAGAGTATACAGGGTTAATAGGTTGTAAGGTTTGGTAGGGGGAGGGGATAGTATAGTAGAGAGATCATGCTCTATCCAAGTGACAATTAGGCAGCCCAGTGGATAGAGTGATAAGCTTCAAGTCAGGAAGACTTTAGCACAGTGCCTAGCACATAGTAGGTCAATTGATTGAGTTCAAATCCAACCGGAGATGCTTACAAGCTTTTTGGCCATACGCAAATCATTTAACCTCTGTCTCCCTCAGTTCCCTCAAGTATAAAAGGAAGATAATACTGGCTCTTACCTCCCAGGATTGTTTAGTATTGATAATATTTGTAAAATACTTAACATAGCACCTGGCACTAGTAGGTACTTAATACAAAATTTGCTTCTTTGTTTCTTTCCTTCCTTCACCCTAACCCTAACCCTACATCACCAATACTCCTTCCATCACACCATGAAACTTTTCAAACCCAGCACAGCATTAACTTTTTTGGCTAGCATGTCATACTTTTTGACTCATATTTAGCTTGCAGTCCACTGACACCCCCAGATCTTTTTCACAGGAACTGTTGTTGCCTAACTAGAAGGGGTGTGGGATGAGTACTAGACCAGGAATCAAATGACTATCAGGTTCTTGTTCTAACTCTGGTACCTACTGTTGGGCCTTTTTAAGGGACTTAAGTCCCTTAAGTTTTCTGAGCCTCAGTTTCCTTCCCGGTAAAATGGCTATGAGCCTCCCTGCTTACCTCACAGGGTTGTTGTGAGGAACAAACAACATAGGCAAGGCTAGTGTTATTATGCCAAGTTTACAAATGAGGAAACTGAGATTCAGACAGGTTAAGTGTCACTGGGGTAGTCAGAATTAGAAGTCAGTCAGGTCTCCTAATCCTCAATCTGCTGCAGAGCATGGAGAAAACTATAAATGAATAAAGATACCTATAGCATCATTCCTACCCAAGTGCACACACAACATACATACACACTCAGAGTTCACAGGGATCCATGCATGCAAGCATATGAGTAATATCATATATGATCCATATATGGAAACATGATTGAATGAGAACAGCTTAAGCTTCCCATTTATCCTGCTAACTAGCTATGCAGCCCATCATTTAACCCCAATTTCTTCATCTGTAAAGTGAGGCTATTAATGCCTGTTTTATTCACCTTGCAAAGTCATTGTGAGAATAAAATCAAATCAGAAGCTCCCATTGACCCCAGATTGAGGCCATACTTTGAGGAGCACCTAGCACAGGGTCCCTGGATGATTTATATTTTAAGGATGTATGAAAGTGCTTTAGAAGACAAAAATGTCTGCAAAAATGTAAGGTATTATTAATACTATTACTATGAGGGGCAAGATGGTCCAGTGGATAGAGAGCTAGCCTTAAAACCAGGAAAATCTGACTGCCTGATACA